TGACTTTCGCCGGTGCTGGTAGTTCGTAAGATTCTTCGAACACGTCATGAGTCCATTTTGCTTTGTGCCCGACTTACTTCGAGTTTCGCCCATTTTCAGAAAATCACTGGTTTTTGCTCGCTCCGTGTTGCCTCTGCTCGTGCTCGATCCTTGTTTTTCGCTCGCTCCTGCATTTTTCAATTCGATAGACGAATTCCGTCCGTTCGCTGTGATGGCCCTGGTTTTGAGGTTTTGGTTAGCGGCTGTCCCTTGGGTAGTATCGATACTGTTAGTAGTTTCCCAATCACACGCTTGATGATAGTGGTTTTTTGTCTTCGTCAGACTCAGTTTCGATTTGGATTCGAATCGTCTTCTTTTTTGCCGGCCTCCGCTCGCTGCGTTGGTTTTTTTGTGTCTATGCCTTTGAATGCTAGCTTATTTCGTAGCTCCGGTGCCGTTGGTGGGCGTGTGATTACACCCGAAGATTACACCCTTTGGCATTACACCCTTTGGCTTTCGTATGGCGACTCCGGATTTTCTAAGCAGTCTGAAGTCACTTTTATGTTAAGCAATCTGTTCAGGTTTCGTTTTATGTTATACCTATTCAAATTTCGCTCGGTTGTGCGTTGAAAAACCAAATTCGTTAGTCCAGCCTCTGTGTTGGGTTTATCTGTTGATCGGGCTGTTTGTTTTTTCCTGATTGATTGCTTGACTATCCCTTAGGCACAGTGGGTGGTTTGTCAATCGGACCCTGTACTCTGAGTACGACCGGATACTCTAGTTCTGGTCAGCGGGATTTGGCATTGCTTGCGCCGCCGGATCACTTTCATCTAATCAGGTAGGTTTCGGATTTTATTACCTTTGGCTTAAGTTGTTAATGGACGGTTTTTTTTGTTAGGCCTCTTAAGCTCGTATTTGCTTCCCCGCCGTAGTGCGCCTTGAATGAACTTTTTTAAGCGTTTTAATAGCTGAAAAATGTAAAGCACCGAGAGACCTTTCGAGCATCTTTTCCAGGGACTCCAGTTTTAATTCTTGGGCGTATATTAGAAACCGCCACATCCATGTACTTTTTTTATTCATTGAGGTAGTTTATGAGCCCCCAAAAGACCAACTGGACTGCCTCTTTCGGCTCTTTTGTTTCTTGAATTTTTCCTTGTCCCATTTTTGCATTTGGTTTTAAGGTTCTTACCCTCAATCATACACTCTACAATTCTGGAACATTGAAAATGATCCTGTGGATATCCTTGGCCGCCGTGAGCATTTTTGACGTTCCGTGGTGCTAGTAGTGAAGCCTGTTGTTTGCTTCCTTGTGCAATGTATTTGAGATCAAGTTTGTCGTCCATTCCAAGTCAGTTGTCGCGAACGTGGGAATCTATTACGAGTAGTGAGTGTTAATTGTTCATAGGGTGAACTTTTGAGTACATGTTGGCCTACTTAGTCTTAACTCTTTCATCTATCGCTTGAGTTTGTGGATCGGTTGCATACTGTGACTAGACAAAGCGAAAGAGAAAAATATCGGGCAGCGCGGTATTTTTTGGACTACTTTATAAATCTGGGGAAGAAGGTCATTATGCGATTTGAGGGGTCTATTGGGTGAAAGGATTCTCCTGTAAGTGCCGAAGGTATTGAAAGCATCCTGTTTGTTTTTTTTGCTTTCTGTTTTGCATCAATACGAGCTTCTTGTCTTTCTTCCACCTCGCCGTCCTCACCACTTTCAGAGCACGGGTGTCTTTCCAAAAATTTTCCAGTTCTTCAAATGATTTCTCCAACTTTTTATCGTAATTTAGGTTCTTAAAATTTCTTGCGTAACGGTCTTTAAAATTAATATTTAACCAATTTTTGAAGATTTTGTCGCGTGGAGTATTGGATCCGCAAATTACTGTTTTGTGATTAGTTGGTTTCCTGTTGCGTTACAAATTGTCCCTACCGGCTGTGTCAGAATTTGATGTTTGCATGCTTTGGTCTGATTGGCTATTTATCTCTAAATTTAATGTCCTTTCCCTCGGAAAACTTTCAATATTGAATCCAAAAACACTGCGATGGGACTTTATCTTCGCCACCGTGAATATGCTGTCGTATATCGAAATTAGTTCCTCTGAGCTAGTTGGATTTCGGGACAGTTAATCGGCTTATCCGACCTTAGCCTCCATCTCGAAGTCGATTGGTGTTAATCGATTGATCTATCTCGTTAACCGGCTAAACATCGTTTTACTTTTCTTGTTTTTCCGTTTAAGGACGATAAAAGGGCTTTGTGGTCGGTTATGTTTTTAAATTTCCCGCCCAAGACAGGGTATGGAAAATCATCTGCATCCAACACTACCGCTAGTATTTCTAGTTTGCTTGTCGTATAATTATTCTCGGTATCATTTCGGTAGCGCGATGCGAGCGATATCGGCCGCCAACCCTAGGAACCGAGTTGCTCAAGTGTGGCCCCTAATCCATTATAGCTAGCATCACAAACTATTCTTATGTCCTTATGGATATTGAAGTGTTTGAGCTCCACTATATTGCAACTTGGCATTTCAAGTTTCAAAAAAAACTTTCTTTCTTCTGTAAGATTCTTCTGTCCACAGGAAGTCGCTTTTTCTGCTTAATATTGGCTGTAACGGTGCTAACGATTTAGCTAATACTGGGACGTATTTTTGTGAAAACTTTGTATTGACGCCAAGAACGGTTTGGTTTCCGATATTGTGCAGGGCGGTCTTAAAGTTTCGATTGGGTCAATTTTTTGGATCAGACGCGTATTTCCATTTGGTGTGTTTTATGCCCAAGCCATTCACATTCCTGCGTTTTGTTAATTTAAATGCCAGATTTTCCAAATGTAATTTCTGTAAATCCTTTTCAACTGTTGATATTTGTTCAGCTTTTGATCCCAAAGGGATGATTGCCATAAGGATGTCGTCAGAAATGCACGTGATTGCGGAAATAATGACAAAATTGAATCCACTACCATTTAGAATTCGCCGGAATTGTGTTCAATCTGTAGAAGCCGGTTTTGAATCGGTACGTCCGCGTCTATTTACCCCTGTCTAATGGAAAATTGCGTTAGATGCTAGTTTCTGGGTTGAGTGCTAGTTGAACATTCGCAATATGATAAATCTGTAGTTCAAAAATTACGTCGTCATTTTTTCTTTCGCTGATTGTTTGCCCGGTCCTATCCATAATTTCTTCAATATTCAGTTTTTGATTTTTCTCCTTGTTCACGTGTCTATTTAGTTTGCGCGCCTCAAAACCGAGTTTTACCAATCCGTCTTTTTCGATGGTTATTACTATTGGAGAGACAAAATATATGTCCGAACAATCATGCTGCATTTTAATTTGCCCTCGATTTATGAGTTTTTTCATTTCGCCTTTGACTTTATCTTGCAACATTTTCGGAAGTCTCCCCCCTTTATTTTTGTTGGATGATGATAAGGTTTGCAAATCAATCGGCCTGCACCATGTAGTTTCGAGTTTTCCCGACCCAGTTAAAAAAAACTCACTGAAATAGTCCGGCCGTCACTTCAGTTTGGCGTGATGCTGCCCACTCATTCGACACGAGTTCGACAATCATTGTTTCAAGTGAGTTCCAAAAGTATGGAAATGGTTATTCACATAGTCGCGGAATTCTTGGAGCTCCGATGTTAGTTTTTATATCTGCGGATCCTAAGAATCTCGGATTCCCCGGTCGTGAAGATTGATATCGGCGAACCGCTGTCGATCCAGACGCTACGTTTTTGTCCGTGACTTTTGATCGACAGTTTTGCAACAACCACTTTCATGTGTTTCCTCAATCGTATTGTCATAACGAGATAGTTCCCTGGAAAATCTGAATGCCAGGAACGATTGCGATCCGTTGGTGTACTCATCCACTCCACTGCATTCTCATGCTGTGATGTCCCGTAGTCCGTATCTTCCCAATCGAACGGTTCACCGTCCTCCTGACCCTGGATCATACCTACCGACGATCGTCACTGATTGTTTTTTTTAGTAGGACAATTCGTTTTAAAAAGTCCCACTCTTTTACAAAAACTGCTTGTAACTCCCTTGGCTGCACAATCGTTCATGTGTTCCCTTGTAATTCCTGATTTGTCGTAGTTGTAGCACCTATGATCCCCCATTGTAGTTCCCCATCAGAATTGTTCTCTTCCTTGGATCGCCCCCTTTTTTTTCTGTATCCGACCCTTTTTTCTCTCCACCGATTCCGTTTAGATTTGTAGTCCTACGCCCGTCGGTCCGGTTGCAGTTACTTCCCCAGTTGTTGAACCATACGTCTTCACGTATTCAACCCCCTCCTCGCTTGTATGACAGCGCTATTCGCTAACCTCCTACGGTGTTTTTGTCGATCAACAAATCTAGATCTGGGCTTCGCGGTTCGTCATGTTCACTGTCAAAATTCGTGTATCCATTGTTCAGAAATTGCACTGGTCTCCTTTTGTGTAGTTCATCATGTCGTTTTACCCAGGCACAAGTACAGATTAGAGATGAGTAATTGTTCCGATTCCATTATATTCTTCCCGTCTACATCTGCCGCTAGAGCTCATATTTGCACCACGTAAGTGTGGCCGCAAAGTAAAATTTTGCTGGGTTGATAGAGTGTTTTGCATCCATTACTCGCTGAAAGCCGTTTATCCAGAATTCCCACAGCCTTGGTGCCTCGACGTGTTTTGGTGGCCAAAAAGACGTAATCCCCAGTAGTTCTCCAACCCGATTTTGTCGTGATTGCTGCGCCATCTTGAAACTTTTAATTCCATACGTTAAAAAATCTCAAACGTAAGCAACTCAATTGTATCTGTGGGCAGAACGATAATTTTTAGGGGTCAATCGACATTGTCAGACACTCGAAGGCCGGTACCTGTCAAAGATGGCTATCACCGAAGGAGGACATAACTGATTGACAGAATTTTAAATAGACATGAGCTAGCTTGAACTTTTTTAAGACTAATTTTAACGACTATGACTGTGTTTTTCCAGGAATCTCTGAATCTGGTCTGAACCAAAACAAGCCGTCTCGGTTTAAATTTCAAACTCACAAAACTAACCTTTGTATCTGCTGCGCATCTTCCTCCATAAACTGACGATGCCTAAAACAAACAATAACATTAGCACAAAAAGATCAAAACTTTTGACATCTTTTAGATTTCCTTTTCTTCCTATTCCATTTCTACGCGGTTAATTAGTTTAAGCTGCAAACATCTAAGCAGACCTTCTTGTTTTTTAAGGAAATAGCTGGGAACTGTTTCTCCGGAACGCAATTTACGGCTTCGAAAAACTTGCTTCGAATCGATGCTATATCTGATGCCCCAAAAACAACTTTCTCTGAAAAATATTACCAGAAAAAAAATTTAGAATAAATATGAAACCTTTTAACCCGAAAGTTCATAGAAAACAGTAATTCCTACAAAACCTGTTCACGCTAGAACAATTTTCTACGATATTTTACTGCCACATTGGCTGCGTGCGTTTTTTTTTGTCGCGCGCCCCCCTCAGTATTAGTGTTAAAGAATCATTTTAGGGTTAGTTTAAATTTTTTTGTTTTAAATCAGGCAAATAAGCGAATTTTTTAACGTCTTTGTCGCTTTCTCCGCAACTATTCAAGATAGCGGGTAGCAAAATTGACATATGGCTAATAAATGTACTTATAAATATCCGAAAAAAATCTAGTACAGAGTCTTCCAGATCTTTTGAAATATTTTTATCAACCGTGTTAAAATATAAACCAATATTTCAGTCTGTATTTTCAATATTTGCACAGATAACAAAATAAAAGTTCAAACTTCTTTCTCCCGGCGCTATCAAATGGTTTTCCTACGGGCGACGAGGAGGTCAATTTCTGGAGGGGAGGATGGCGTTAATTATCCTAAAGTTTAGAAATTTGCCAAAATTGTCAATTTAAATGTCCTTTGAGAAATAAAAAATGTCAAATCAATCAAAATGACATCCTGATCCCACAGAAAACATTGGTTTTAAACTTCCGGAGAACCAAAAAAACTATAATTGCATCCTTTAATATCTTGTCCGTATTCGTAGTAAATAAATTTACTTTTACTGTGTTTCGCTCCTCAGTCCGTCTGATGATGTGTTCCACTGTGCCTAGATAGGCGTAGGTGTCATCGTCCACCTTCAGGACATATTTAGCCCCTGGACACTTTTCATGCACCCACATGTACCCAATCATCAGCTGAACTGTGAGCAGTTTGTAGTTTTCTGCTACATTCACTACGATGACGTCATTGGTCATGAAGGTCTCCATTAGCAAGCTGGCGCGGTCCCAATAGGATTCCGGTTTGTTGACCTACAGAAACAAAGGCCTATGTTGAACGCTTTTGAGAATTTTTGAGCGTATGACTAAATAGAATAATTCTCAAAGGCAAAATAGTTGAATTGAAAAAAATGAAAGTACTTTAATTACAAAACTTTAGAAGGTATAAACTTCCATTTGCAACTAAAAACTTCTTCTCTGTAAAACAGCACCCTTGGGTTGACATGACAAGAAAAATATAACTATTTTGTGATATCACAGTGATTAACAGACATGGGCCAGTCTTTGGTCAGGTATATCAAAACTAGTTTTAGAGATGTTCTTGCTGTGGAAACATCCTCGCAAACAATTTAAGACATACGAATTTACGTGCTCAAATTATTTTTTGCGAAGCTGTTGAGCTTGACTAACTTTTATTATTTCATAACTATTTCTCATTAGCAGATATGTTGTGTTCAAACTTTGTCCAAATTTTTGTTATAAGCTCCCAAGAACTTTTAACGTTAGTGTCGTCAAAACAGATATGACCAACACTGAACAAATACATCTTTCAATTCTCTTAATTGTCAGTTTTGGGGCATAAAGAATAAATCAAGCTCAACAGTTTTCCAAAAAATTAATTTGAGCCCGTAAATTCAAATTCTTCATATTGTTATTATATTGATATTATCTGAACAAACGAAAAATGCTTTTATTATACACAACACAGATTCATTAGAAATTTGATAGCTCGGGGATACTTTCCAAACCAAATTGACACTTAAAAAAACAGTGCGAAGAACTCGCTCTTTTAATCAAGGTTTTGTTAGATATCACCAGTTTTGGTTTTTCTAATTAACACCTGTAAAAGAATGGCCTGAGCGGGCTCGAAGTTTTCTATTTTTTCAAAAATCAAAATTAAGTTAAGGACTATAAATTAATTATGAGAACAGAAAAAAGAAAAAACCTAGAAAATTTCCTCAAAATACAGAGTAATTTAATGATCGTGAACTGAGGGTTTTTATTGAAACCATCTTAGTTGGTTTCCAAAATTGTTTAAAAAACACACACAAAAAAAACAAAGTTATAGCGTTTACGCAAAAACTAGTTTTGTGATTTTCAAACATTATGGCAAAATAACTGCAATTTTTTTTTCAAAATACAGGAGTTTAAAAACTGCCAACTTAGCCAATTAAGCATACCTAACGCGCAAAAAATTTTGCCCTATTACAACAATCTAAGCGGCAAATTAAACGTTTGACTGAAAAGAAACAAGTAACATTTTGGTCTCACTGAAATTTAAGTAAGATATATAGCTTTATACTTTACACAGCTTGTAGGTAGACAAATTGAAAAAGAAAATAAAAAAGTCATTAGCTTGACTATATATAATTTTTGTATATTTCTTCAGTTTTTTTTAAATAAGCGATTTCAATATAGCTAAACCAGTCACCATGAAAAACGCACAGGGTTTCCTATTGATAAAAACCTCTAATTTAACTTTCCAGTTTACATATAGTTGTGAATGATTGCTTTTTGTTTGATTGGTGATCTTTCATAAAAACAACAAAATAATAAAAATTGAATAGCTGATGTAGTTTTTTTGTTCTCCTCTCATTGTTAATATTTAACAATTTTGGAAGACACTCAAATACAGCAATTGCTACTGGTGTTTTGATGTGAATATTTTGGTGTTTCGTCATTTTCATTTTGATTGTTGTTCCTATACCAAATTACTTAAGCTACCCACTCTGGAAATCTAAGTTTTTGATTTTTAGCATTTATCAGTGTATTCCTGGTTTAATTTCGGCATACTTTCCGCATACTTTCCGCAATTGAAGTGAATTTTCTATGGAATGAACACTTTTTTGAACCAGCGGAGTCGAAAAATTGGTCATTTCATGTGAAATTTTTGAACAAGAAAATTGATTTGTTCAGTGTTCTAAGCCCAAGTATTGAATACAGCATTTTTGAAAAAAGCTGGCAGTTACTTCAAATCAAAGAAAATTGTTAAGATTAATTGCAAGCAGTCGATGCAAAAAATTTTATAAGATTTTGAGTAAATTCTGTTCAAAATAATCCATTAACTTAGGGAGTAAAAACTTAGCATTGAGTTTAATTTTTTCCACAGGTGTAACTTATTAAACAGAAATAAAAATATGTCTGACACATTAAATATAGTAATTTTGTAACGCAACACCCGTTTTCATTTGGACATCTTAAGCTCTCCACGTTTTACTTTTGTTGACAAAAAATCTTGTTTATTCCAGTTTTGACTTTTGAAGAAAAATTGTGAAATGTCATTATTTGAATCAGCAAATCATTTGAAACAAACTTTTAATCAGAAACATTTCCTATTAGGATCCAGATAATTTTTCATTTTTGCCAGATTTCGTTTTTGATTTTATATTAAAACTAGTACATCAAAATAAAACGCAAATTAAAGTTTTGACCCTCTAAATTACCTGTTTGCAAAACGTAAATATTCAGAGCTTCCGTCAATGCAATTAAGTTTTGGTTTCAGGTCCTTACCATTTTCAAACTTTCAATTTTATTGCTCAGAATGTATTTCACATCGGTTGAACAGTTTTTTTTACTCGGCTTCTTCGAGAAAAAGTTCACTGAAATAAACACTCAATGCAAATTGTAAAAATAAAATTTTCAGACTCAGAATATACTGTTACTTATTTAAAGCCGAAAATTGATAACTGTATAGAGGGAAGCTTTGATCACTTGATCTTAGCCTATGTAAAGTTTTTGTCCAAATCTCATTTGAAAACAATCATTTTAGAAAGTAAACACCTAAATTGGCGTTCAAATTTTCCGCTAGTGTTTTACATTGCAGTACTGGCTATTAAGATCTCAGTTTCAAAACATTAATTTCAAACAAGATCGCATTTCAAAATGAAAACAATCCTGACAAATGAATTTTTTGGATTTGCTCATATCGAATTATAAAATTTTTGGGAAGAAACTTACGACAAAAAGCGTGACATAATTCATCGACAAGTTTTTGTAAATGTTCGGATTGGCCCACGAATGTCTGATGAGATGTCGTATTCCAGACCTCTCGGGAAGACTGGCAATTAAAATAACTACCAAATCCTTTTGAACACTTTTCGATTCAGGTAATTCACAGATTTTTGATTCTGAAAAAGTGAACAAATTGCCTTGCAAGTATGCAGAAGGTGTATTTTTAGCACCAAAACGAAATAAGTTTCTCAATTTTTGATTAGAGGATTCCATTTCTTCTTTCACAGAGTTTTCATCTACTAGTTTCATCCTAAATGTATCAAAATTGCGATTATTCGAGTTTTTGTAGAATACGAAGCTCATAATAAACACTTGAAACGCCATGATAAGTATTCCAAGTTTAATGAATGCACGCGCAACTTTGGCAATCAGTGCCATGCTCAGTTTTTAAATTTGCTAAAATTAAAATAACACATTGAAAATTTGGAAGAGTATGTTTTCTACTCTTTTTCCCTCGGGCATCTTTCAACTATTTCTAGCTACCTCAAAGAAATCATTTGCGTAGTTTCGCGCTTTTTTCCGGGCTCTTTCACAATTTTCCGGCATATTTCGCTCAGAAAGAGCAAAAACATACTCTTCAACAGTTAGAACATAGTTGAAGATGGGCTCGGGCAAAAGAGCCGCCATGGGGCACTTCGTGCCCTCAGGCCGGGCACTTTTTCCCTCGGGCATCTTTCAACTATGTTCCAACTACTACAAAGTTAGTGGTTTTTTAGCCAGAGCTAAGCCAAGCAAGTATCCTCTGCAAAACTATGGAAAATCGGTAGCTGACAGGTTTTTGATAACTAATCAGTAAATTGATGAAACTCAAACAATTTTCAGATTTCAAAAAGAAAAAGCGCACAGCACTTAAATGCTTTCGTTTTTATCATGTTTTGGGAAAGGCATCAACAAGGTTTTTTTTGTTATTATTGGAAACATTGAAAAAAAAGGTTATTCAATTTTGAGCAATTGCACTTTATAGTTATTGGTTTCATAACTGGTCAAAGTTTTTTACGCATTATGTGCACCTCGTATTTCCACCTCTCCTATCTCAGCAATGCAAGAACGCGACTCGAGCACTGGTATAGTTGCATCGAGCTATTTGTGCACAATTTCGTGCGCCGTAAAGCAAGATCTACTCACTATAGTAGGAAGTCAACATTGACAGGATTACTTGATCTTCTATATCACGTGAATTTTCAACCAAGATTTTAAAAAAAAACAAATGCGCTAACTGGTCAAAGGTTGCTCTTTTTGAAAAATTAGCCCATTGACTTGCTTGTAATAGTCAACTAGTAGTTAATTGAAACTTGAACGCATGCGATTTTTTAATTGCTAATTGTCATATTTCGTCACAAATTTGCTCAAATCAAAATTTTGGCGCACAAGCTTGATTGCAAATGAAAATCAACGATTTTCTCAAAGTCAATATTTTGGCCGGCAAACTGGCGCGCAAAACTGTTTTAGTATTTTGAATATTATCAAGAGAAAGCGCTGAATATCAAGCCGATACTTCAAGTTAAACCGTAAAATGACCAACTTCCAGAAAAAAAGTTCTCAAAAACTTGAACAGATTGAAAAAAATATATGGAAAAATTTTGTCATTATCAAGTATTTTGGTTCAACTTATTGCTTGGTTTATAAATTTCAAGCATTCAATGGGTGTCTAAGAATGTGGAAAAAAAATGTTCAGGATTTTGTAGTTTCGATTAAAGCTTTTCAAAACCGATTGAAATAACAGCAATAAACAAAGTTCTTCTCACAACAAGATTCAGCGCTGAATCAGCGTAAATTTTAAGATTGGTATCGAAAATTAGGTTCTGATTAGGGCCATTTTACCGATCATTAGTGCAGTAAATCACTGAACGCTAATTCAGTGCAATCAAAACCACTGAAAAAGATCAGCGAATAAAAACTGCCAATAGTGATTAAACCCACAACCTTTAGATCGCTTTTTTATCCTGTGTTCAAAAGTTGCTTAGTTTACCACGAAATCGTGATAACTATAAGAATTTTATTTCTAGGCTTACCCAAGTCTAGTACAGGGACGCATCCCTTTAACTGGAGCGAATTGTCCCTACCCCTGTTGAGGCCCCTAAATTTGGACACGGTAGTACATATATATTACCTCCACCTAATTGCGACCACGTTAGCGCTCAGAAAACACATTCAGCGAGGGCCATCCTGGTCATCACTGTACATTTTAAGATGTACACCGCAGAATTCTGCCTAAAAATGTAAATCGGACTCGAGGATTTCGCGGTCCAATAAAGACAAGTTAGGTGGGTCATATGGGAAGTGAAATGTCTGGAAACGGTACGGTTGCTTACGCTGCTGGTCTCTAAAAATTTTCTGATGCTGTGTGAAGACGGCGTTTTTCCTCCATTTAAAAAAGCAGTCTAGAAAACAGCTTGAGCTGGACAGGAGCACTCAATTAGCTTGGTTAGGGAGTAATTGGAACTTTGGTATCACTATCTTCTGTATGGACTAAAATTTTGGCTTTGGTCAAACTCAACCGCAAGTGTAACTGGCGGCCGGTCTCGGCGTTTAGGTGCTTCATGGAGCCGTCAGTACCACACACCGTTTTACATCGCTCGCGGAATGACTCTGCATAACATTTTGGGCGGACCTCGCTCTCTTACTGGTGGTAGCCACCTCAGTGGCCCAAATCGTTATCGTTAGTACTGCATAAAATTGGTATTATGGTATGTTCATTTAGAATGATTTTTCTGTTCCGGTGTAATTTGAAGGCTGTTCCCTCTGTAATTTAAAGAATCAACGAGAAAACTTACGGTGGAAGGTCACTTTTCGTACCCTGCTTAAGTTAGGGGGGATATCTCGCTCTGCGCGGATACAGTTTGTGATACTCGACAAACGTTTATAACTCTCGTACTCCATTATTGAAGGCTTTCGATTTGCGTGTAAAGTGGTAAGCTAATGGTGGGAACGTATTAGTGAGATTGTTTGCTCAATATTATAGTTAGAAAAGTAAACAAACGTTCGAGGCAAAAACAGTCCGAACCTTAAGAAACTAAACCCTCTTATGCCCGAAAATTTAAGAGAAAAAAAACTGGTCTACTCTACTCCCCCCTCCCCCCCCCCCCAAAAAAAAGATTGAATTATCACCGGTAAATGGCCAATCCTCCAGCCCTAAGCCCTGGAAACGAGAGTCAGTGATCTTTCTTGAAGTTGGCAGGAAACCTGTTTTTTTTGTTAAGGAAACGAGAGATACAATGCGTAATGTTTTTGATTGGAACGCTGAAAACGATGATTGAATATGAGTGAATCAAGGCATACATCGGTTTGAGGTTAGCTATGGCAGTAAGACTGAACTTAACAACTCAATTAGACCAAGGAAACGTGCTGCCGGAGGAAACTGGCAAAATTAGGAGTGCAGAATGCGCTCTATTTTTTTCTATTAAAGAAATTGAAGGTTTGCGATATTCCTTTAGCTGATCGAAAGTGGCTTTTTGGTCCATTGGACCCCCAGTAGACGGACTTTTTTTCCCTGTGAGGTAAAACATCGGGATTGTAATCGTCTACAAATGGGAGAAGAAAGAAGCTAATTTTGGAAATGATTTTACCTAGCCTCAGGAGTGTGGAACATCAGCGAGATAATTGATTAAAGCTTTTGGGAAACCCTATAAGTGAGGACGAAATGTCTTCAAACGTTTTTTTTTAATTTTGTTTTTTTTTCCGGCAAAATCAGGCATCACAAATGATCATTAGAATTGTTCCAACAATAAGTCTTCTTAAAACACTTTTAATCGTTCGTTGAAAATTTTTCAAGTACTTTCAAAACAAACTCTCAATTTCGAGAAAAACTGGTTCTTTTTTTACATTTTAGCTTTTCGAGAGAGTTCAGCTAGCGAGGTGGTCACTATTTAGATTATCTACATCGATGTTAGATGTTGTCATTTTCCTTTACGTAAATCTCTGTCGAAAGTCATTTTGGTTTTCATGTTAAATTGATACCGAGTATTTGATTTAAACTATTCCTTGAAACCAACTATCTAACTAATTACTTATTTACATTTCACTTTACAACCAAGTTTTCAGTTATTATTCCTCGGCAAATGTCATGGCGCAGCCAGCAGTTTCTGTGAATGAAGACAGCTGACTTGTTAGGTATACCTACCTTCTGGGCGAAACCGTCTATAAACCCACCGTTTCTGTTGATTGGCTAGTTTTTCTTAGCAGTTGGACTCAAATATAACATTAACCCACACGACCTTCTTGCCGAGCCCGCGGAGATTATTGATGAACCTCCTCCGAAACCAGAGACTGTTGGCACTGGGGAAGATGCAGCGGAGGCCGATACTCGAGTCCTCAGGGATCAAGTAGCTGTCCGATGAGTGGACGAGTTGAACCTTGAGCGTAGGAAGAAAGGTCCACGGATAAGTCAAAAATAGTTCTATCACGAGGCAGAGATTCGATTAAAATCACGGTTGTTTTTCTCGGTGGGTAACGAAGGCAAGAGGTGATTTGCGGACTCGTTTCCACATACAGATATTGGTTTTACCCCATTCAGGGATTTTCACATTAACTGTGAAACGTTGTTTAATGTGGAACGTGTTTACACAAACGAACAGATACAGCTGTATAACACTGTATTTATGCTAGGCAATGACACTTTTTCATCTTTCTATGCTCGGCGAAGTGCTCAGGCTGCATTATGTAGTTGGTCAAATGCTCAAGAGATGGAGATTCTCAAAGACCTCTTCATTGGGAGAATTCAAGACGTACACGTCCAACAACAGCTCATTAAAGCCAAGACAAATTTAGATAACACTTTTCAACTTGCGTTGGAATGTGAGAAGAGAGCAAGCACGTCAGCTCAATTTCAGAAGCTACTTCCTCATAAACAATATTCCAATACCATTTAAGTTAAATAAGAACCAGCTTTTTCTATTCAGCCGTCTAGAGGAAAACGCAATGGTCCTCAGAACCAAGCGAATCGTCCAAAAAAACCAAGGCAACCAAGGCAAAAAATCTTGTTACTTCTACGATAATCCTTTCAGTCTAGAGCACAGGAAGTCTTGTTCAGCTCGGGAAGTTATGTGTAACCTCTGTAAAAAGCGTGACCACTTCGCAAACGTTGCAACTCGTCAAAGCGGAGGGTGAACTTGGTTCAGGAAGAAGAGGAAGCGCCCAGCCACTCAGTAGATTGTAATTTCATAGATGTTGACTTTGATAGCGAACCGGAGTATGGCGTCTTCCAGTTAGAAGGTGTACTGCAGATCAACAGCATTGATGTACTCAAATCAGCTGGAGGCAAACCCAGGAGCAACTGCATTCAACTCCGGTCAGGTCCTACTTTCGTTTATTCCACGATTGATACAGGAAGCCCGGTCTCATTCCTCAACAAACGTACTTTCAACCTTTTACTACAACGCCGTCCGTCCATTCACTTTCGGGATGTTGCGAGGCACCCAATCGAAACCTTTTAATTAGATTATAAAAAACATCCCATTCGCTTATTGGGCTTGATCACGTTTTCTATCTCTTCTAATGGTTGGAAAGTTGAAGATGCTACTTTTCTCATGCTCGTCCGGTTTCTTATGAAAACCGGACGAGCAATCTTCCGGGTGTGAACCTTCATGAGAAGTTGGGGTTAGTGGCTATCCAGTTGCGGGTAGAATCCA